GGGGTGAGGGTGTGGCTTAACCCCAGCCTACTCTGGTTCCTTAAAGCCTGGGGTCCAGAGACTAGACCCAGCCAGAGTCCCTGTTCCTGGCGCTGGGGAGAGAGTAAACTTGAGCGAGGAAAGAAGAAAGGAGGCAGGGAGGGAAAGAGGCTGGGAAAGAAAATGGAGAGAGGGAGGAAGAGAGAGAGGAAGGCCAGAAAAAGAAGCAAGGGAGGAAAGGGGGAGAGGGAAGAGGGAAGAGGGAAAAGGAGAGGGAAGGAGGAGAAAGGGGATCCCCTGCCTTTTTTGATTAAGTGTACCGGGTCGGGCCTGCCCAGTTAGCAGAGACCGTTAATTAAACCGCGAGCGATTCAGCTGATAGGCAGGCCGGCCAGACGCCCCGCAGAGATGTTCCAGTAACCAAACTGTCCACGGCCGAGTGCGAGTGGGACACACCGGTCGCATGGCCTCCACCTCTTGGGATTCCACCAAAGCAAAAAGACTCTCCCTTGCCTGGGCCAGGGCAGCTCCCCAGCCGGGCGCCTCCGCGAAGACCTGGGAGCGCGCATCCTCCACCACCATCACTACCACCTTCACCACGACCACCATGATCGCCACCACCCCTCCGCGTGCAGCCCTGGACCGCCGCATAGGCCAGAGGCTGCGCCCTGACCCATCCATCCGCCACGGCCCGCCTCGGTGCGCGCGGGGCCGGGCTTGTTCCAACTCTAGAGGGCCGAGGTTGGGTCTATCACAAACGCCAGAGCGGCCACTGTCCGCCGGCCTCCAGCCAGCGGAGCCCAGCCTCGGCACGCCCGCTGCCACCCGGGCCACGGCCTCTGGGCGGCGGGCCGGGCGCGGCGGCACGGCGGGACGCTGAGTGTGTGTGCGCGACGCGGCCTTATTTACACCCCAAACAAAATAATTACACTTTTGTGGGAGAGAGAAAGCCAGTGATTAGGCGCGGGCTCTCTGCGGCAGAACAGTTTCTCAGTGGTACACCAGTATAATTTTTCACGGCTGGCTGAAATCAAAGAGGGGAGGTAATGAATACGGCGAGCAATTTAAATTTACAATTTGTAACGCCGCCGCCGCCGCTGCCGCACATACCCGGCCGAGAGCGCGGCTCTGATCGCTTGAAGCGTTTGTTTAATGCTAAAGTGGGTGAGGGGAGAGGAGTCTGTGTGCCGGATGGGAAGGGGACAGCAATGATTGAGGTCGAGAGAGGACCGGCTGCATCCCCCAAGAGCCCTCGGGGAGAAGAGGGCGAGGGGCGCGACGCCCCTGCACATTTCCACCCTCCATCCCGCCGCCGTGCCCACCCACCCAACCACCCCAAGAACACAGACCAGGGTGACGCCTCCGAAGGGGCCATGGCCTTTGCAGGGGCAAAGACAGTGTCTCCCCCTCACCCCTCCGCACCCAATCTCCCCTGGCGGGCAAAATTGCGGGACCAGAACGCCCGAAATGCGGAGAGGTCAAGCTGCCATTGCAGAAGCTCCAAGAACCACTGCCCGGTGGCCTGGAGATCGCAGAAGTGGAGCGACACGTCCCCCCCACAACACACACACACATACATACACATGCCCCAGCTCCCCGCGCCTCCAAACTAACTCCCACCCTGCGCCGGTATGCGCCTCCTCGCCGGTAATTAATTACCAAACTCAAGGGGGAATATGCAAACCGCGCGTATTACTAACTCTACAGGGCTTAAGTGATTGGAAACAGATTATTATCTTGTTTGTCTTTTGTCTGTTTTACTTATCCCGCCGCCGTCTGTCGAGTTGTAATGTTGATACTCTTTACTCTGGAAGGAAGATTTTTATATAGTAAATTCCATCAACATCTTGTATAAGTGACATTGCGTCTGAATGCATTACCCTGTTAAGACACAAGCGGTTTATTAGTTACATATAAGGGGGTATTGCGTTGCCTTAGTCGCCATCTGCCAGCGCTGCTGGGGCGGGATGAGGCAGCTAATGATTTGGTCTGCCGGTGATTTGGGAATGCTCACGCTCAGGGCAGTGGGTGAGTTGGGGAGGACCCAGCAAGCTTCCCAGCAGGCAGGCCGGCCAGCTAGGCCAACCGGTTCTAGGTCAGGACTGGCCTGGAGTGAGAGTGGAGTGTGAGTTGGAGCAGTAGGTGAACCCTAGCCTAAAGGCGGGAACCCAGACCCGACTCCAGGAACTACCGTCCCCCTCCCCACCAGGACTCGCCTGTGCACGGACTTTCAAGCTAATCCAGGAGGGGAACTCAGGTAGATGTGTCCCAAGAGTCAGGTGCACAAGCCTCCTGCAGCTGGCTGGAGAGCAGACCCAGCTGACCCAGCTCTGGGACAGGCCTGGAAGGAAACTAGGGCAGGAAGCTCAGGGTGCCCCCACCCCACCGCCAATCCAGAGCCAAGAAGAAGGCCATCTGGTGGGCAGTTCATGTCCGGGGGGGGGGGGTCCGTGTGGGTGAGGTGTTCAGAGCTCCACCCACACCAGAGATTTTGTGCTGCGCACCATAGATGCAGGATTTGAAAGAAAAAAAAGGAAAACAAAACAAAACAAAAAGAACATGCAATAGGAGAGAGGGAAGGGAAGGCCAGGGGCGGGGAGCAGGGAGGTAGAGCCGACACAGAGCTCAACCTAAAGGGAGGTAGGAATGTCAACCCCAGTGAGACAAAGAGGGAGGAGAAGGCGCCTGTTGGCTGCCAGGAGCCCTGCTCGCCTCCCCTCACTCTAGGGTCACTCTGTCACAGTTCAAGCACCACCACTGCTGCCCCGGCGGACAGGCCCAAAATGCACTTGCATTTTGGGCTGCAATTATCGCCCCCTCTCAGCCGGGCCCTGGGGAGGCTACACTAGAGCCATCGTGCGTGTGTCCCCCCCCTCCCCCGCCAACTGATTTCCATGCAGTGTAGACAACCTGTCCAATTGCCAACTGGATGGCCAGGTGACGGCACAGGCAGGTAGGAGCTGGGGGACTGGGGACTGCCCTCCAGAAGCCCAGCTGGGGAAGGAGGGGGTCCCATCAGGTCCCCTCTCTCCCAGTGAGGTCACCTTTAGCGAGTAGGGCAGCATGCTCGGCCTGGAAACAGGAGCAAACACCTCGTCCCAACACAGACGTGCGCTCCCAATCCAGAAAGACAAGTGTGACTAAAGCACCCCCTCCAACCTCCCCAAGAAGACACCCCCCAAGAATCACAAACAACACAAACGCTGCACCAACACACACACACACACTGTGTCTGCTAAACTGAATTCTGCACTCGCAACACACTCAACACAGCTTGATCACACAAAGGGCTTCCCATTTCCTAAGAGCTTCAGTCCCAAAATAAATATACATAATTATATATATTATATACATATATACATAATTATATATTATATATACATATATACATAATTTTTATATATTACATATACATTATATAGCATATATACTAAATATATATAGGGCCTGGTATCACCCCTGCCCAGGGCCCAGGCCATTTGAGCAGAGTCTGAGCCCCAGTTTGGTTCATCTAAGACTCCCCTTCACTTCCACGTCACTCTTGCACACGCGTGGGCACATTCACACTCACACGTGCAAACACCCTCGCATCCACGGACTCAGGGAAACCCACACAGACAGAAACCAGCAACCATTGCGGAACAGGCGTTGGTGCACCCCGACGTGAGCTCAGGGCAGACCTCACCATCAACACCAATTCTCACTTTCCAAGAGTCCCTACAGAAATGCACTCACTCCATCCATCTGCCAGCAATCACAGAGAAATGTAACTCTCCATCAGCGAATGGATCTTCATGGACAAGCCAGGGGCCACAGCCAAAAACACCCCTCACCTTTGGCTCCCAGGCCCTACCTCTTTAGTCCTCTTCCCAGGGACAGAATGAACATCCAGCCGGCTTTCCCAGGCTCCCCAGCTAAGAGTGCGGTCGGCTAAACTAGTCCCTTCCTCTACCTCAGGGATCCCCACAACCCATTTTTTTCTCCCCACTCTCCCCCCCCATACACACACCTGCATACACTCTTTACCCTTCCAACACCCCTGCCGAGCTCGGGGCTCCTCCTGGGCAGAGAGGAGGGGCGACCCTTGCACACGCAGCCCCCTCTCCCCCGCAGGAGTGCAAGCAGCGCCCTCGGAGGCCACTAGTGCCCCCCCCGCAAACACACACACACCTCCCGGCGCGACCCACTCTCCGTAGCACCCCGACTGGACCTGGAAGGTGTAGCGAAGAAAAACCAGGTGAATGAGCCACCTCCCATTTCTCTGCTGGAGGACCCTTCCATTCGGCCCCCTCCCAGGATCTCCCCCCAGGGTCCCTAGCGCGGAGCTCTCGGGCCTGAATTCCAAAGTCAGAAGCCGAGCTAGACCACACCCCTGCCCCAACCAGTGCCTGTACCCCGGCCCCCCTCCCAATTCTGCCCCCCGCCCCCGCAAAGCCCCTTTCTCCATGAGAAAGGCGCGGCTGGACTCCAGACCCGCGTAGGACAAAAGAAGCCCAGGACCGACTCGAGGTGCCGGAGGAAGAACCGCTGTGCGGCAGCTCCGGGGCGCACACCCCAGAGCTGCGGGGCTCCGGGGAGTCCTACACGGGAGGGCTGGGCAGGGAAGGCTGAGACTGGAGCGGGCTGCACTCCGGGTTTCAGACAACTTCTGCAACTTGCCGGGATAGAGAAGGGGGCGGGTGTCCTTCCTCAACTAGGCCTTGGAACCCAGGCCCCCAAATATTTGAGCGAGAGAGAAAGAGAAAGAAGGAGATGCAGTTTTCCGATCGCGCCCCCCTCCCCGGCCCCAAACTGCAAGATAAATACTTACTTCGCCTTGGAACCAGGTACAAGCTAATACTCAACAATACTGATGCCTTGTTTTTTTTGCTCTGTCCGGACCGCAACGCTGTAGCCAATTTAGATATGCTATAAATTTAAGAGGTTGCCATGGTCACGGCGCGCCCATTGGCCGCCAGGCCCCCTACGTGCCGCGCCACGTCACCAAATCTGAATAAGGATGCGCGAATTAGGCGGCGGCCAGACAAAGATGAGGATCCGGACCGCTTGAAAGTGGGGGAAAGTGCCGGCGCCTCCGACACCGGGGAAAGCCGTTCGGCAGAGCCGAGGCGGCCAGCCACCCAAGACACCTGAGGGAGCCCGGAACGAAGGCCGGGGCGCACGCGGCCTGGGGCATGAGGTCGTGAACGCCGCCAACCCCACAGCGCCGGCCAGCTCCGCGCCGCCGGGCCAGCGACCGCCCAAGGACTTGACCGGCTGAGTCTTGGTCCCGACCAGACTCGCCCAGCGGCTGCCCGAGAGCAGAGGCGAGGAGCGCACGCCGCAGCAGGGCCGAGAGGCCCGAGGGCCGGGGGCCCAGAGGGAGGGCAGGGCGGCGGGAGCCGCCGGGCCGGGGGGCTATGATGGTGCACTGCGCCGGGTGCGAGCGGCCCATCCTCGACCGCTTCTTGCTGAATGTGCTGGACCGCGCTTGGCACATCAAATGCGTTCAGTGCTGCGAGTGCAAAACCAATCTCTCGGAGAAGTGCTTCTCGCGCGAGGGCAAGCTTTACTGCAAAAATGACTTCTTCAGGTAAGATGCCGCGCCGCCCTGCTGCCTGCGCGCGCTCCACCGGGGCGCCGGAAAAAGGGACAACAGTGAACCCATCGCAGCCTCCAGGGCTCGCAAGCTTGAGATGGGGCCCGGGGCCGCAGGCCGTTCGTCTCCGATCTACAGCCAGGAGAGGGGCCGCGAACCGACCGAGGAAGGCTGCTACTTCACTGCCTCCCGGGATGGCCCCTTCAGTCCGGCTCTGAATGGTGCTGGGGCAGGGGGAGGAGGCCCTGACAAACTTCCTTGCTACCGCTCTCTGCCCCTTTCCAGCGGCTGCTAACTGGAAGCTCCAGCTCGTTCTGAACCAGGAACGATTTTTTTTCCTATATTATTGTTGTTATTATTTTTGCTAGAGTTGGGGCTATCAGGATGGAGGCTTCCCCCTCCAGGCACAGCCCACCCGCTCCCACCCCCCCTCCCCAGTCCAGAAACCTCTCTTGGAAACAAATAGAAACTTCCCAGCTGTAGGGGATGGGGGCAGCTGGGAAGGTCTCTCCTTGGTGAGGGTGGAAGACAGACTCTCGTCCATCCTTTCCCTCCCCGTCCATCCTTTCCCTCCCCGACATTCCCAGGGCTGGGAATCAGGCTCCTTTTCCATGCCCCCCCCCAACCCAGTCCTGACGGCTGGGTCTGGGGCAGGCCAGGGCCTGTCAGCTCTCTAGGCCTCAGTTCCCCCAGCTGGGAGATGCTTCAGGGCAAGCCTGGATACCTGAGCAGGGTTTGGTAGCCAGGCCCAGTCTGCTTTCTCCTGACCCCAAGTTCCCAGAGCCAGCTTTGTGAGTGCTGGGGCACCGAAGGTTGGCCCCAGTGGCTGGCACCAGGGAATCTGCATAGGAGAAAATGTCCTAGGGCAACGGGTGCCTTTACGTGTGTAAACTCCTGCCCCCCTCCCCCCGCGAAGGCCTGGCGCCCCTAATGTGGCCGTGCTTGCAAAGAGCCTAATGATTTTTGATAAGGTGCCTATGGCCAATTACAGCACTGGATAAGGCCAAAAGTGACTTATGGCTTCTAATGCCCTCACTACATCAATGTCACCCAAATTCGCCCTGTTTAGAGACATGGGTGTGCATCAATGTGGTGTCCCCAGTGCTCCCCCTCCACTCCAGGCTGCCACACCTCCTCCCTCCCTTTGGGGGTCGGCATCCCCCTGTTCAGAGCAGGCCAGCTTTCTCTCTGGGCTTAAGGCAGCAAGGAAGGGAACGAATGAGGCAAAGGGGGAGTTGCCATTCTTTGCCCTGGTCTTACAGGGCTCTGAATGCCTTCTGCTGCTTCTCCCACTGCCTGCCAGGGCCAGAGATTGGAGTGGGACACTGCCCAGAGTGCACCCAGCTGAGCCCCTGCCGCCACAGCCCTTGTGGTGGAGCCTAGGGTGTGGGGGTGGGGTAAGCAAAGCTTTCAGGTGGCACAGGGAATCTGGGAGAGATGTCCCTCCTGCTGAGGCCCTCCTGGAGAGAGGCTCCTCTAGCCTGTGGCTAGGATCAGCTGGTCGGGCAGATGGGTGCTACCTGGGTCCCATCAGACTAAAAAGGTTCTAGGCGGCAAAGCCAAGAAGTAGCCTACAGGCAGCCTGTCTGGTTTTGAATTCTTCTTGGGCTCCAGAACCGAGTTGGTCTGGGGCAGCCCAAGCAAGTGCGTCAGGGACAGGCTGGGGGTGGGAGTGGGGCATTTGGGGATACTCTGGGCCCCACAGCTCAGTGCTCGGCAGCCCAGCAGATGGTGAATTAACCCAGCCAGCCTGGCAGTCCCTGTCCCAAGACTGGCCCAGGACTCATGTCCCACTTCTGCTGTAGCCAGGAAGGCAGGATCAGAGGTTTCCTTTGACAGGCATGGGAGCCAAGGTGGGTAGTAGATGCAGAGAGAAGAGAGGGGCTGGGAGGCTCCTTCACCAGCCCACCTGCCAGTGATGGACCCTTGCCCTGTGTCCCCAGGCGCTTCGGCACCAAGTGTGCGGGCTGCGCGCAAGGCATCTCGCCCAGCGACCTGGTGCGCAAGGCTCGCGGCAAAGTCTTCCATCTCAACTGCTTCACCTGCATGGTGTGCAACAAGCAGCTGTCCACGGGCGAGGAGCTCTATGTCATCGACGAGAACAAGTTTGTGTGCAAAGATGACTACCTGAGCTCATCCAGCCTCAAAGAGGGCAGCCTCAACTCAGGTATGGAGGCCTGTGTCCATCCTGGCCCTGGGACCCTAGTGCCTTCTCACCATGCCAGCACAGCCAGCACAGCCCGTCAGGCATTCTGCAGTTCTCCTGTCCTTGCCCGGGGGTCTGGGAAGAGTGGAGTTGGTCCTGCAGACGAACTGGCACATGCCAGCTGGCCGCTGCCTTCCTCCCAATTCCAAGCTAATCCTCCCGAAATTCTGAGTCCAGTAATTCAGCCCTCTGCCTCCTTTCGGCCTGGGAGGGCACAGCTTTGGTACTAGAGGGCAAATAGAAAGAGAGGGGGAAAAGAGCTAGAGGCAGCCCAGCCTCTTCCGCCCTCCAGGCGGCAAGCAGCTTTCTTCTGAGAGTGCGCCTGCCTGGCCCTACCCCGGCCTGCGCTGACTCGGGCTCAGAGTGTTGGCGAGGGGCCTTTTCCCAAGGCCCTACCCCGCTTGAAGAGAGTGGGCGGGCGCCGGTTCCCTGAGGGAGAGGCCCGTAGCAGGTTCCAAAGAGAAGGAAGCGAGGTCCGAGGTCGCTTGGGCCGTTGGAACCGGCCGCGGGATTGGAGAGGCGCAAGGCCGCCGCTGACTCCGCGGTTCTCCCTTTCCCAATCCGCCCGCCTGCCCGCAGTGTCATCCTGTACGGACCGCAGCTTGTCCCCGGACCTCCAGGACCCCCTGCAGGACGACCCCAAGGAGACGGACAACTCGACCTCGTCCGACAAGGAGGCGGCCAACAACGAAAACGAGGAGCAGAACTCGGGCACAAAGCGGCGTGGCCCGCGCACCACCATCAAGGCCAAGCAGCTGGAGACGCTCAAAGCCGCCTTCGCAGCCACGCCCAAGCCCACGCGCCACATTCGCGAACAGCTGGCGCAGGAGACCGGCCTGAACATGCGCGTCATCCAGGTGCGGCCCCACCCAAGCCACCTTTGTGATTCCCGCCGCGCACCACCGCCAAGGCCGAGAGCGCACGGAGTTCCGGGGTGGGAGCAGACGGTGTGTCAGAGCTGGAGGACAATTGGGCATGCGGCCGAGGCCGGGCACTCTCTGCCCATAGCTCAGTCCAGTCCAGCCCTCCTCCTGGCCCTGCGCCGGGGAATGGAGGGGTTAGGGGAGCAAGTCAGCTCGCCCCGTGGCGATCCGCTCTCCCGCCCCGGTGCAGGGAGAGTCTCCAATTCTTTTCCATCTCCTCCCACCTTCTGAGCAGAGAAAGGGCCCCGTTCACCCTTCACCTGCCCCTTCTCGCGCCTATCGCTGCGCGGGGCGGAACGAAGCGGCCGAGGCCGGCTCGGGCTGGCTAGGGGCCCAGGCGAGAGCCTTGCAGGGTCGGAGGCCTTTATAAAGCCGTCAGCCCGCTGGCGAGCCGAAAGCCAGGAAACCCAGGTCTTTATGAGTCGCCCCACGGGTCCGCGAAATCCTTCAGCTTTGACTGCTTCGCCCAAACCCCTCCCGGCCTAATCCGGACTAGCCCCGGTGTTGGGCGGGGTAGACCCGATGCAAAAGAGGCGTTAGGGCCTAAAGGGGGGTGGGGCGACCGGCCCAGGGAAGGACGGGGGAGGGCCTCTCGGGCGGCGAGCTCACGGCGCCCTCCCCCCGCATGCACCCCTGTCCTTGCTCGGTCCCAGGTGTGGTTTCAGAACCGACGGTCCAAAGAGCGCCGGATGAAGCAACTGAGCGCCCTGGGCGCACGGAGACACGCCTTCTTCCGGAGTCCGCGACGCATGCGTCCCCTGGGCGGCCGTTTGGACGAGTCGGAGGTGTTGGGGTCCACCCCATACACCTATTACGGAGGTAAGGGGTTCCGCGGGACGCGCCGCTTCACTCCTTGACCTGCGCCGTCAGCCCCGCGACTGCCCCTCCCGCTCGCGGTCGCTTACCCAGGACTTGCCCAGTCACGCACACGCTTGATCCTCATACCCTGCACACGCGCGCACTCACCCACTGACACCTTCCGGGCTTGGAGCCGCACCTGCTGTCGGACTCACCCATAGGGGACCCACAGAGGGGGCTCCCAGGGGAGCGCGAGGGATACACGGGGGCACACACCCACGCGAGACCCCCGAGGTGTTGCACGCTCACGCTTGCGTTCAGAGGCCTCGAGGACACATCCGGTCACACACAAGGGACACCCCAGGCCCCGCGGTGGACTCCCTCACCACCCTCCCTGTGTTCCGCAGAGGCTCGTACTGACAAACGCACGCGCGCCTCCCCGCCGCCGCGGGACACTCGGCCTCCGCTGCCCCTCTTCCGTGTGCACTCGCGCGGGGCGGGCGTAGGGGAGGGAGGAGCCGGGGATCTGAATTCGTTCCTGGCTGTTTGCCCGCCGACTCCCAAGGCGGCCACCCGGGCTCCGTCCGAAGCGGGGCCGGTGCGCGCTCGGCGTCAGGCGCTCTTTGGGTCGGGCGGGTTCTGGGCCGCACTTCCGCCCACCTCCAGCTCCAAGCACACGGGGTTCGTCCTGATTTGAGCTCAGGCAAAACACAAGTTTGGTCCAACTCCACAAGGATGTCCTAGATGCTTGGGGTTTGGATTTAAGTTTGTAAAGGAGATTTCGAAATTGGCTGTGGCAGGCTCAGGTCTGGCCTTGGGCTGTTTCCTCCTCATTTGACCCATCCCTTCACTCCGACCAGGGCCCTCTTAGACTCCTGGCCGGCAGCACGGGGCAGTGCCCACCTCCCCACTCTTCGCAGTGTGTGTTGTGGGAGGAGGTTAACCTCTGGGTTTTAAGGGGACCCGGCGCCCCTGTGCCCCAGGAAGTCATTTCTGCTCTGGCAGGCACAGCATCACCTATCTTTCACGGCCGTCGGCTGATTTGGGGAGGAGTGGCAGCCTCTCCCAGAGGACTTCGGTGACAAAGGGTTGGGGAAAGAGCCAGGCGGACCCCTCCGTACGCTCAAGGGGCCTAAGAGGTTAGACCAAGACCAGGCTAGGTTCTTCCTCTCTCCCCGCCTCCTCTCCCCCAGGCCAGGCAGAATGTAACGCGAAGCGGCCAGTCTGCGGGGAGACCTGCGGTAGCCAGGCCGGGTGGCAGACTGCAGCGGCAGCAGCGCGTGCCCTGACCGCCCAGTGCTGGGCGTGTCCTGCGGACCCTAGATTCTCTCAGTACCTACGCGGTTTTGCTTCCTACGAGGCCTGGGGGAGGCACCTGCCTGGGTCATTAACCAAGGCTTCCCCTGCGAACCCCTGCACCCTACACACCTCGTTCCGCAACCTCCTCTCTGCGCGCCTGCTTGAAGGGGTGGGAGGCTGGACGTGGTAGGAGGTGGTCGTGGTGGTGGGGGAGTGGGGGACATTCATTCCCGGAACAGGGCGGGCGGGGGAAGCAGGATTCCCCAGCCCCCAGCGACGCGGCCCCGCCTAATCCGCGCTGGGAGATCCCGGTGGTGCCTGCCGGCAGCGGACGAGAAAAGGGCCGGGCGGAGGGGCCGGCGGCTCCCCGTGGGAGCGCGGACAAAGCCCCAGCTGCGGCTTTTGTGCCCTTTTCAGACGGCGTTTGTTCCAATTACCCCCGGCCCGGCCGCCATATGGGCGGAGGCGGCGCGCACGGCGCCGGGGCCGCGGCCCTCGCTGGTTTGCCGGCTCCTGCGAGCCGCGCTCCCGCCCCCACAACCCTGTCCCCATCCCTGACCCTTGGGGGACTCCCGATTGAGTGTCCCAGACCCCTCTCCTTCACTTTCGGGGAGAATGGAATTCGTAGCCTTCCAGTCTACTGGCCAAAGGTTAAACCTAAACCTAAACCTCCAGGAATTCACCCCCGCCCGGATTTGGAACGATTTCCGGGGAAGGGGGTGAAGGGTGCACCCCAAATCAGCGGTGATGGTGGCCCCAGGACGGGGCCAAGAGGGGGGTCATTGGTTTTGCACAAGGCGGGCTGTCAAGGGTGTAGGCGACCAGGTGCTCCGACGCGAGGTCCGCAGCCCAAACCCTCTGGAGACGGAATGTTCCGAGGAACCGGGAGGAAAGTGTCTCGGGGAGGGGAGAGGCAGGCACGTCCTGCAGTTGAGGGAGGGGGGAGGACAGCGCACCTGTGTCTTTTTCTGGGGACAGAGCCCCCGGAGCTGTCACCAGTGTCTCAGAAGGACCCAGTGTCCCCAGATGCTTCAGAACTTGGTGTTCTGGAACCCCCTAAAGCGAGCCTGAAGGATGGCTCCTCCCGCCCCAGGCGCCCGGGCATATTCGTGTGCTCCTCAGCTTTCTCCGAGCCGCTGAATTCGGTTTCCAGGCCAAGCTAGGCCAAGACAAATGGGGGCCCGCGGGTTGGGAAGTGTGCTTGCGGGGCGCTGGACGCGCCGGGGCTCGGGCGCCCGGGGCCGCTGGAGAGGACGCTGAGGTCGCGCGTCTCCGGGCCAGGCGGCAAGCATCAGCAGCTCGGGCCCAGCTGGGGCTCCGCCGGCGCCCCATCCGCTCTGCTGTGCGGATGCGGGTCTAGTCACTCCCGGCTATTTTGCCGGGGCCTCAGGCCTCTCCACCTGCGCGTCTCTGGCGCCTTCAGCAACGTGTCTCGCTGGCCCTGCGGTGCGGGCTCTGGGCGCGTCTGGGCCTCCAGTTGCGCGTGGCTCTCAAGCCCCTGGGGGGGGGCCCGTCCCCCCCAAGTCCCGCTTCTCGCTCCACCTCCGCGCATCTCTGGGGCTGGCCCTCGGGTCTGTCGGTCTCTGTCGTGGCCCCGGCCCTTCTGGGTCGCTGTTCCCGCTGCCAGCGCCCCCTCACTGCCACCGAGCGAGCGCCTGGAGGTCTGTGGCTCCGACCTTGCGTCCGTGGCTACCCGGCGCCCTGGCCGTCTGTCGTGCCGATGTCCCTCACGATCTGAGGCCCCCTCGGCAGCTCTCCGTCCTCCCCGGGGCCGCAAAGCCGGGGCCTCCGTAGGTCTCCCGTCTAGGGTCCCTGCCGCGTGCGGCTTTACGCTTGCTTAACCACCCGCGGCGTCCGGGCCCTGCGCCTCCGGCTCCACCGCGGTCTAGCCCCTGGCCCTGGCCGTGACTCACTGTCTCTCCCATCCCCTCCCGCAGACTACCAAGGTGACTACTACGCGCCCGGAGGCAACTACGACTTCTTCGCGCACGGCCCGCCGTCACAGGCGCAGTCCCCGGCCGACTCGAGCTTCCTGGCCGCGTCGGGGCCCGGCTCGACGCCGCTGGGCGCCCTGGAGCCGCCGCTCGCCGGCCCGCACGCCGCAGAGAACCCCCGGTTCACCGACATGATCTCGCACCCGGACACGCCGAGCCCCGAGCCGGGCCTTCCAGGCGCGCTGCACCCCATGCCGGGCGAGGTGTTCAGCGGCGGGCCCAGCCCGCCCTTCGCCATGAGCGGCAGCAGCGGCTACAGCGGACCCCTGTCGCACCCCAACCCCGAGCTCAATGAGGCCGCCGTGTGGTAAGGCTGCCTTCCCGACGCGGCCTCCCGAAGCCAAAATGCCCAGCAACGTGGACGCGGCGAGAGACGCAGGGGCTCCCTCTGGGGGGGCTTCTCTCTTGGGTCCGCACTCGATCGATCGGCAGCTGCTCCTGGGCGGGGCGCCCAGGGGAGCCGACCCCACCCCGGCACCCCGCGGGCTCCCCGCCTTCCAGACCCCAACCCTCCGGAGGATCGACAGAGATCCAGCGCCATCCAGGCTTCTCGACCCGCACCTGCTGCCGCCGCCTCCCGGGACTGGGAGAGGGGCGACGCGAGGAGCGTTTGGCAACCTTATTTCTCACTCTGCTTTTCCCCCCACCGTGGAAAGAGGATGAGGAGGAAAAGAGAGAGCGGGGGATAGGGGAACAGGGTGGAGGAGAGAGAGAGAGAGAGAGAGAGAGAGAGAGAGAGAGAGAGTGCGCGCGGGGAGAGATGTGCTTAATGGGCGTGAACCCAAGAGCCGGGCAGAGGCACCTGCCGGCTTGCGCCCCCCGGTGGCCATTCCTGGGGTCCGCGGTCAGCTTTTCCGAGCAGTGGGCAGTGGGGCCTTCTTGGCCACGGCCCCTCCTCCGTAACTCTGCAGACTTGCATTTTGAGCTCGAGGGGTCCGGGCTGCACCCTGCTCTCTCTCACCCTGGGCCGGGGCCCACATTTCGCTCTCCCCTCTGCCCACGGCCTGGAGGTGGGGCGGTCAGGATGTCCAATAATTATACTTTTTTGGAAGTCGGACGCTTCTAGTCTCCTTATTTTGTATAAAGAAGAAACAAATAAAGTATGTTTTTGTGTTTACTGTTTATTTATTGTACTCTAGTTATCCGGGTTGAACATTTTTATATTTTTAAGAGGAGGGTGGGCAGAAGGAGGGAGGGGAAGGCAGGAAGAGGTTTACCTAAGAAAAATGAAAATACAAAAAAATCCACTTTTTTTAAAAAGAAAGATTAATAAAAAAAAAATCTTTTTCCCTCTGTGCTGTGCTGTTTTCTTTCCATAGTCAATGAATGAAACTCTTCTTGTGTCTGCATTTGCAAAGTCACTTTGGTGACGTTGAGGGAGGGGATTAGGATGCCTGCCTGTCTTCTGCTCGGGCCATCACAGGGGGGTGGGGGAATCTAGCCCAAGCTGAGTCCAGCACGGAACAGGCTCCAGGATGCCGGGTGCATGGACGGATATGGGATTTGCGGCTTCATTCCTCTGTAATGTCCCATGCAATTCCAAGGGAGCTAAAGAAAAATAAAAGTTGGTAGCAGGGCTGGTTGCCTGCCGACCGTGTTGACAAGTCCTGCTCCCATTTGCCTCAGTGTGGCCACCTGCAAAGGTGGAGACTGTATGGAGCGTTTATACACCTGATGATGAGAGCAAATGATGCAGATGGTGGCAGATGGGACGACGCCTTGCACATTTGTGTCTTTCAGCCCCGCTTGTGGTGAGGGGAGCTGGCAGCAGCAGGGAAACTAGGAGAAGAGAGGAGATGGGGACCCCCTCCTCCCTTACCAGGACCGCAGGAGAATGTTGCCCCATTTCCCTTCCCCGGGGGCGGGGGAGCGGCTACCACAAGGTAGACGCACTGTCCTGCACTGCAGGGTTGGAAGCCCCATCTTTTAGGCTTCCCTTCATTCTTTCTGGAACCAGGGGTCATTCTTTGGACACTCGAGGCTCTGGCTGAACCATCCTGCGTATGTCCTTTGCAGCCAAGCCTCTGTCTGGAGGTTTGGGTTCTAACTTTTCACCTGCTCTAAGCCACATCGGACTGAAGTCAGTATAGCGGGGTCCTTTCACCTGCACCTGTAGCTTCCACTTTGCCCATCAGCATCCTCAGCACAGGTGATGGCCTTGTCCCAGGTACTGCACAGGGGACAGGCTGGTTGTGCCTCAGAGCTCCACCCGCCATGTAACACTCCCACCTCGAGAAAAAGCGTGCTTGGGCCCAGAGAGATCAGCAGGGGCGCAGCATGAGAGCCCCCCAAAGGTATCCCCTCCTCTGCGCCTGCCTTGCAGGAGCAGTCACACGTGTGCACTCCAGGTATACATCCCAATGCACACAGGACCGAGAGCAGCTGGCTCAGTCCCAATATACTTCCACCTGCTCCTGTGTGCTCAGTGTAACTCCCCAAGGAGGGCCTACTGGGCCCAGGGTCTCTGGGCAGAGAAATCTCACCCCTGCTCTGCCCGCCTTGCCCACCCTGCCCAGTGTACCTGCTGTGCTGGTGGCCCTGGGTGGCCCCGGTTCAAGGAGACCCTTTGTAAAAGAGGTTGTGGTGGGGAAGGGGAGTTAGGAAGGGATGCTGGTCCCTCAGTGTCTGTCTCCGTTTTCAAGCATGTTCAGTGCTTGCCAGAAACACAGATCCCTGGAACCCCCACCCCGATGGCTGCAATTGCTGTCACGGGTGGAGCTTCAAGCTCCCCCAAGCCAGCAGAACCAGGCCCTGGTAAGATCCTGCCCCTATGTGGCCCCCTTGGTTGACATCTCACTCCATTCTCACAGCTTCAAGATGTGCTGTTGGGCCCAGTGTGATAGCCTAGTGGCTAAATCTTTGCCTCGCATTTTGCATGTGCTGGGATCCCATCTGGACGTCAGTTTGTGTCCCAGCTATTCCATTTTCCCAGTTTGTGTCCTGAAAAAGCAGTAGAGGATGGCCCAAAGCCTTAGGACCCTGTACCTGCCTTTGGGAGACCTGAAAAAAGCTCCTGGCTCCTGGCTACAGATTGGCTCAGCTCTGGCCATTGCGGCCACTTGGGGAGTGAATCGGTGGATGGAAGATCTTTCTGTATCTCCTTCTCTCTGTAAATCTGACTTTCCAATAAAAATAGATAAAATCCTTGAAAAAAAAAAAAAAGATGAGCTGCTGTGCCCATTTGCCTAAACGCCAGCTTCCAACTTAAAAACCTCCATTACTGGAGCCCACCAGCAGATGTCTAGTCACTGAATGAATGAATGAATGAATGAATGACAAGGGAATGAATGAAATGCAGCCGCCATACAAAGAGGCTCGTTAAGGAATGGTCCCAAAGACGCTCATCTTTACCAACAGCAGCTTCCTTGGGTCTTGTGGGAAATGCCCTCCTGACAACGAAGGTGGCCAGGGCCAAAAGGCGGAAGGACATGGCCGGGCACCTGCAGGCTCGCTCTTGTTGCTCTCGGTCCCTCCACGGTCCCTCCACGGCCCTCGTCCCTAGCCTCCTCTCATTCCTCCCCACCCCCTCTCCATCTCCAGTACATATTATCATTGAAAAATAATAATTAAAAAAAAAAGATTTTCAAGAGTAATAAAAATTTCCCAAGGCAGACAGGTAAGGCAGACTGCCCAGCAGCTGTCTTCATCCACGGCTCTGGATGAGGGTCCATCCCCCACCCCCCAAAGCCCCTCTGGGCTGCAGTTCCAGCTGGCTCCAAGGAGCCGAGCCTGCCCTCACACCCGCCCTCCGGCCAGCCCGAAATCAAGACCCCCCCCACCAGGGCATGAGGGCTGGCCCGCTGGTTTTAGGACTAATATTTAACATGCAGGATGGCTGTGGAGGGCGCCCGCTCCCCTGCCTTGTCGTGCAGTAAAAAGATATAAACAGAATAAATTACCTTTCCAGCTCCGGTTATGAGAATACCCATCTCCTGACTGGAATTTTAAGTCCTGCCTCCCTCGTAGCGCTGCACACGGCTGATTTATGGAAACCCGAACACTTCTCTGCATATTTCTCCTGTTCAGCCAAGTGGGCGAGTTTACCCTTCCTATGCCATTAGCGTTATTAACACCTGGGCAACCGATCATTGCAAATGGGCCATTTCTGTGATGCGCGCCGTCCTGTGCCGCCGCCACCTCCCCAGGGCCAGGCCACCTTTGGCCTCTTCTCCGTGCACGTGGGGCCAGGGACTCTTCGCATGCCCAACACCTGCCAATAGGTTTCTGCACCTCTGCGAGGGGACATTGTGTCCCAGCAGGTGGCCAGCACTGGAAGTGACACCACCCCTCTTCTTCATTTATTCTTCAGGGAAAGTTCCACTAAAGGACAAGGCCCTCAACTGACCGCAAAAGAGGGGACACTCAAAGCCCCGGGCTTAGGTTGTGGCCAACTTGTGGTCAGAACTCAGAGCAAAGTCTGTGTCACGCCTAGAAGCTGGCTAGGAAGCCAGTGCCTTGGCGGGGAGGGGGCTCCACCAGAACCCTGGAGTGACACAGCCTGCTCGGCCCCCAGGGAACTGCTGCACTGGCCCAGGGCCACCTGCCCTCTCTCCATGAGCCCACAGTGTCCCATCGAGGCCACAGACAACTTCAGCCCGGGGCCTGGGTGAGTGGGAGCTGGCCCTTGGGCTCCTCTGAGCTCAGCTTGGCCAGACCTAAAAATGACCCAGGAACCCCAAGTCTCACTGGGAGCTGTAGCTGACATCCAAGCAGAGCGTTTGGCCTGGGGGCCGTGATGTCTGGATGCATTCCTGCTTCCGGTTTCCCACCTAGTGCAGTGCTCGGGAGGCATGGAGATGCTCCAGTTGGTGGGTTCCTGTGTCTCATGGGGGATGCCTGGCCTGAGCTCTGACCTGGCCTGTTGCAGGTTTTTCTAGACAACCAGTGAATGGGGGGTTCTGTCTGTCTCTGCTTTACAGAATATAATAATAATAATCATTATTATTATTGCCTAGCACGCAGCAGGTTGCTGAGTAATAAACTCCAAGTGAATACTGTTACAGCAATCCTAAGAATGGCCATTTAGTGGACACCGTGGTTATTGTTATCTGTTCTACTTTCTAAAATATATGTTCTTTCCCCCCCCCTTTTTTATTTTTAAAGGCAGAATTACAGAAACAGAAAGAGATTTTCCATCCACTGGTCCACTCCCCAAATGGCTTTCACAGCCAGAAGCTAGGCAGAACCAAAGCCAAGAGCCAAGAGCTTCTTCCAGGTCTCCCACGCAGGTGCAGGGTGCCGAGGCTTTGGGTCGTCCTTGACTGCTTTCCCAGGCCACAAGCAGGGAGCTGGATGGGAAGTGGAGCAGCCGGGATTCGAACTGCACTCCTATGGGATGCCAGCATTGCAGGGGGAGGTTTAGTCCACCGTGCCATGGCAACTGGCTCCTATTCTACAGGAAGCACTTAAGACGCTTGTGTA